TTTATAATATATTTTTAAACTTTTACTGAAAAAGTTTATTTCTGAAAACGTTGATTAATGATGTCAGCTGAAAGTGTTCAGAAATTTTGAACTGTGAGAAAAAAATCTGGGCTGTCAGAAGGAAAAAAAAAGATGCGATGCACCACAGAGAAAGGCCTGCAGTTAGGATGTTACACTTCTGTATAATCAAAAATTAGGTTAGCTAATTTATGTGAAAACTGGAATGATCTCTTTCTTCAGTTTTGGTGATATCATTACAAATACTGATAAAAAGTAGGTTAAAAAATGACTCAAGTAAAGTACAGATAACCAAAATTTGCACGTAAATGCAGTAACAGAAAATTTGTACTTCGTTTACAACTCTGTTAAAACATGCTAAATTTAAGAATAATTTTGTTTCTGTAAGGTCAGGCTATAAAGCATAACAGCCAGCTGAAAGATTAAAGGGGATTAAATTTTTACAAATCATAAAAAACAATAATTTGAGTCAGTTTGAACCTTTTTTTAAGTTGGGATCAGGACTTTGAGAGAATTTGCAGAGGAGATCAAACAAATGTATAACAAATGAATAAAATAGAAGTAAAAATTTTAAATATTTGGAAATAAATCAATGAAAATATGTTTCACGTTTATATTTGGTGTATTTTGTTGTGGAAATCTTAATTTAACAAGGACAGAAACGGGTGATCACAAAATAAAAGACACTTCGTGGAATGGTCGTTTGAGTTTTGTTGCAGTTGCGAGGCACAAAAGCTTAACACTACTACTACTACTCTTCTACTTTTTCTTTTTTTTTCTTTACTATAGTATAAAAAGCCACTGATGATGCAGAAATTAAGAAACTAACATTCGGTTTTGTTTTCTACTGAAGTGGCTAAACAAAAAAAGCTTAACACATTTCTGTAAACAGTCCTGCGCCAAACTAGCTGCACAAAGAATCAAAAGTTTGAAACCTCCTTTYAWACTTGATATCTGTATGTTTACATAAACTGACAAAAAGAGAACGTTCTGACAAACTATCTACCCAATACCTTATCCTGATGGTGAAACACATTATCTTAGAGAGGGCAGAAGATGACGTAACATCAGAACAATGGTATCATACAACTGGGTGACATTTGGGTCAGCGACACAGGTCAGTGGYGCATGTGAAAAGGAAGAAAAGTTATTTTTCCATGACATATTTCACCTACAGTTCTTAAAATTTCAGTTGTTAGAGAGTATCAGGATCTGTGTTTTATGATTAGGTTTATTTTGCGATTCTTGTGGTTATTATGAATGTATATGTTATCATACTATATTTCCCTGTGATGGACTTGCTACCTGTCCAGGGTGTACTCTCACACAGTGACTGCTGGACATAGGCACCACCAGTGACCCCATGACCATGAAAGAAAGTTGCAGGTTAAAAAAATAGACAGATGGATGTTATGTCTAAATATTAAATCTGTCTATAATGACTGCAATGCTATATAAAATTTTAATGTTGAAAAATTTAGGAAGCGCTTCCTGTTTCAGCTGCATATATCTCTGCCACACTCATCTATAGGCGAATCTGTTGTGTTCTGCTGGAGTGTGGCATGACTCATGTCATGTGCAGGTGTGATAGATTGTACAAAGCAAGAGGGAGTGAGAAATGTTTAGATTTATACATCTTATCTGTCATGGATTAATTATGTATATCTGTTCTACCTTGACACTGTCCAGTAATCATTTCTTATTATAACCAGTTTCGGCTGTTTTACTCTATCAGCCAGACTTCAAGACTCCAGTAATGTATGACCTCTTTAATTTCTGATTAGGTGTTTCCAGGCTGACAGCCCTGTCATTTGGTTAGATGGTTACAGTTGGCGATCTGTGACTGGTTATAAGCATGTCACATGGTGTCATCATGATGTTATATTATTGGCTGCTCTCTGCTGACGTGGCAGTCACAACTCAGCAGATTTCCTGATTGACTGTCTGCTGTGGTGTTGCTCAGAATTAAACCATTTTGACGACCATACACGCAGACTTTCTGTGCATTTATTCCAACATGTTTCTGCATTCTTGGTAAATCGTGCCACGACAGATTTTGGCGTTGTCGGCAGGATTCACCAAGAATGCAGAAACACATTGGAATAAATGCACAGAAAGTCTGCGTGTATGGTCGTCAAAATGATTTAATTCTGAGCAACACCACAGCAGACAGTCAATCAGGAAATCTGCTGAGTTGTGACTGCCACGTCAGCAGAGAGCAGCCAATAATATAACATCATGATAACACCATGTGACATGCTTATAACCAATCACAGATCGCCAACTGTAACCATCTAACCAAATGACAGGGCTGTCAGCCTGGAAACACCTTATCATAAATTAAAGAGGTCATACATTACTGGAGTCTTGAAGTCTTGGCGATAGAGTAAAACAGCCGAAACTGGTTATAATAAGAAATGATTACTGGACAGTGTCAAGGTAGAACAGATATACATAATTAATCCATAACATTATACAACTAAATTCACTCTGTCAACAAGGCACCATATATCCGGATAGGTTTTTATTTTTGATTGAAGATGTAAGAAGAAAAAAAAACTGCAGTGAAGTTTACTGAAGTAAAGCATAAATAATCAAAACTTCTACTTGAGTTAAAACTCTGCTCTGCTCTGTTTTCACTCTCATCTTTGCTGAAAAAGCATCAGATTCCTAACCACAGGCTGCACAACCAAATAACCAAGTAAAAATCTGAATATGGAATAACGGTAGCATTATTTATTATGACATTGTAAAATATTTGAGTTATATTAATAAAACAGCACTCTGGTCCTGGCTACRTTTACACTAAACATATACTCTATTCCTACAAACTGAGGCCAATGACATATCTTTAACACGTAAGATTTTGATTGTTCATAACTTTTTTTTATGTGCAAAGCCTCACTTCAAAATGAACTCAATGTGCACAATCAAAAGGAAAAGAAGGCTCACATCAGGTCTGATGTATGCACAATGTATGTGTTTTTCYTCACCCACACATCTGAGCACAGGGTGAGCCTAGAAGAAGCTCCAGGCATCAGATTTTCAACTACAGGACTTCAAAGATCCCAGTGTTTTGGCACCCTGTATTTAAGACAATCAAAAAAAGTCTTGTGAGATTATATGGTTTGAAATGTCAGATGTCTGTTGGCAACTTGAGAAGGACCAACATGATACACGCACATTATTGTTTTTGACTCATTGGTGTTATTTTCTTAATGAGCAAATGCGTCTCATATGTTTTTTTTCTGTATCATGTTATGTGTCACCACATGAAGCACCGAGCTCCTTGACGTCTCTTGTAGAACCAGAATAAATCCCCAGGCTCTCATGGTTGTGACTTCTCCTTGCGTGACTCACTTTTCACTCTGTTTCTGGCCAAAAGAACATTTACTTCTTCACCCCAGTATCTACAGAGGCCCGTGACAGCATGAAAAACAGAAAACGTGGCAGATTGGATGTGAGACTAAGCCTGTCCCTTTGATTTGCAGGTACAGCTTCTGTGTGCCACCCAAGCTGGATCTGCATGTGTGTCCCAAGCTGGGGCAGAGGGAGGTGACGTTCTGCCACGTGACGGAGTGGATTGAAAAAAAACTTCAGGATGAGTTTCAGGCAAGAATTTATTTATTTATTTATTTATTTATTTATTTATTTATTTATTTATTTATTTATTTATTTGATCTGTTTTAACAAGCTCCATGTTTCCTCCTGTTCAGAAAGTGTTTGTGCTGCCAAACATGGACGACATCTACTTGCCCTTGATGCAGTCGGCTGAGGTGAGCCAGACCCAAAGTCCCTCCACAGAGTGACTGCTCCCTCCAACGAGAGGATTCAGCTGAAAAATACCGTGGCAGAGTCCAGCTAGTGCCTCCCAGTCAATGAGCAGGCAGCAAGTCTGGTTGAAAAATGGGTCATTATATGAAGTTGGACCTAACATCTAATGTTCAGGGCTGTATTTGTTCAGATGTTCTTTCTGAAAGAGAAGAAAAGTGATACCTTTAGAAAATGTTTAGACATGAATGATCCCCATGAGATTTTAGTTATTTATCGTTTCAATGTTTACAGCTTAAAGTGTTGTTTTTTGATATTAATGAAGTGAACTTTATTAAATAAAGGAAATAACAGAAAACTTCACTGGTTATTCTTTTAGTGTCCAGTCACAGTCTGTTTGTTGGACAGATTTAAACAAAACCGTCAGAAAGTCCACATGAAACTCAGTCCATTTTTGCAAACTTTGAGCTAGAATTTGGTGGGGCAGTAGCTGAGGTTAGTTTCTGAACCTTTTTTGGAAACACCTAAAGTAACCAAAAGACACAACTTGGCGTCTTAAGACCTGTTATAGTTAAAACCTGTCTTTTTTGTAAACTATAGTGTAAAAAAACAAGTGGGATTTTCAAAATCATATTATTTTTAATTTAAAATTTTAATGTTTTTTTTTTTTTGATGCATTGAGATGCTTCAATGGCC